TGCAAAAACACTGCTCAAAGAAATCAAAGATGACACAAACAAGTGGAAAAATATCCCATGCTCATGGATTGGAAGAATCAACATTGTGAAGATGTCCATCTTACCTAAGGCAATCTACAAATTCAATGCAATACCCATCAAATTACCAGCAACATTCTCAGACCTAGAAAAGACAACACAGGAATTCATATGGAAACACAAACATCCAAGAATAGCCAGAATAATTCTCAGCAAAAAAAAAACAAAGCTGGTGGTATCACATTACCAGACTTCAAACTGTACTATAAAGCTACAATCATCAAAACAGCTTGGTATTGGTATAGGAACAGGCATACAGATCAATGGAATAGAATTGAGATTCCAGAAGCAAAACCTCAATTTCTCAACCAACTCATCTTCGACATGGCCTTCACCACCTAACACTGGGGAGAGGAGAACCTATTCAGTAAATGGTGCTGGGAAAAATAGCTGACCACATGCAGAAGATTGAAACAGGACCCCTATCTATCCCCATGCACAAAGGTTAACTCCAAATGGATCAGAGACCTAAATGTAAAATCTCAAACCATAAGAACCTTAGAAAATGAAGGAAATACCCTCATGGAAATCGGAACTGGCATCCAATTCCTGAACAAAACCCGAAACCCACAGGTCATAAGAGAGAAGATAGACAAGTGGGACCTTATTAAACTGACAAGCTTCTGCAAGGCCAAAGAAACCATCAAGAGAGCAGGGAGACAGCCTACAGACTGGGAAAAAGTATTTGCCAACACCAGGTCTGACAGAGGTTTAGCATCCTGGATCTACAAGGAACTCAAAAGTGCTGAAAAGAAAAAGACAAATAACCCCATTACAAAGTGGGACAAAGATATGAACAGAAACTTCACAAAAGAGGACATCCGAGCAGCCAACAAACACATGAAGAAATGCTCGACCTCACTAATCATCAGGGAGATGCAAATCAAAACCACACTGAGATACTATCTAACTCCAGTCAGAATGGCAACTATCAACAACTCAAAAAATAACAGTTGCTGGAGAGGGTGTGCTGAAAAGGGAACACTTCTACACTGTTGGTGGGAGTGTAAACTAGTGCAACCTCTGTGGAAAGCAGTGTGGCGATTCCTAAAAGCTCTAAATATCAACCTCCCATATGACTGTGCAATCCCCCTACTGGGAATATACCCTGAAGAACTCAAATCTTTCTATAAAAAACATACCTGCACACGTATGTTTATCGCAGCATTGTTCACAATAGCAAGATCCTGGAAACAACTATGCTGCCCATGAAAAGAGGACTGGATTTTAAAAATGTGGTACATATACATGATGGAATACTATGCAGCCATAAAAAAGAACAAAATCATGAATTTCGCAGCAACCTGGATGGAACTAGAGTCTATAATACTGAGTGACCTCTCACAGAAACAAAGATCCGAGTATCACATGTTCTCACTCATATAATGGACCTTGAACATCCAATGTAATACTATAAGAAAATGACTGACGGTACTGGGAAACTGTGGAGTGGGGGAGGGAGATGGGATTAACAGTAGCAAATATCTGTCTGGGGATGGGGAAACACCTCTTATCAACAGGGTGCCTGAATGAGACATAATTGTACACCTAACCCTTAACTGTACCCCACAAAACCATAATAAAAAATATTGATTATGAAAAGAAAAAAAATTTATCAAAATATTCAAAAAAAGAAAGAAAATGGCCTGTGACAGTGCTAGTGTCTATAAGCAGCGGAAACTTTTTTTTTCTGGTTGAGTGACACATTCTTTTCATGATAGGACATACTTTCTTTTAGGATTTCAAGGAATATGAAAAATACAGTGAAGTCATATAAGTAGCTTTGATTTAACTGATTAATGATCATTGTTATCAATGGACTGATTAATGATTAATAAAATATTGGTTAATAAAAAAAATTATACCAGATTTAGCTGGGCTCGGTGGCTCAGCCTATAATCCCGTGCCTTTGGGCGGCTGAGGTGAGTGGATTGCCTGAGCCTGCGGGTTCAAGACCTGCCTGGGCAGGCGAGACCTCATCTCTACAATAAATTTAAAAAATCAGCTGGGCGTGGTAGC